GCGGTGAGGAGGACGAAGACGACGCTGCGTCTCTTTCACCCGCTTCCTCGGGTTCCTGCCACCTGGAACTCCCTCCTCCTCCTCCTCTTGCTCCGGCTGCTCCACCTCTTCCTCCTGCGGTCCAAACGGAGAGCTCCGCCCCCAACAGCCTCCCTGGGAGTCCTTCCCAGTGGAGCGTGGAGGAAGTCTCACGGTTTATCTCCTCACTACAAGGTTGGGAAATCGGACTTCTCCTTTTCTATCGTTGGTTATATTTGCAGAATTGATTCATCTTTAGATGTGACTTATTTTTTTGGATCCAGATGTTGAGATTTAAATACTTTTTTTACCATCTGCTCTCGTGTTCCTCCTCACAGGCTGCGAGGAGCTCGTCTCCCAGTTCCTGTCGCAGGAAATTGACGGACAGGCGCTGCTCTTGCTGAAGGAGGAGCATCTGATGTCCACCATGAACATCAAGCTAGGACCCGCCCTGAAGATCTGTGCTCACATCAACAGCCTGAGAGACTAACGCTCCCATAGATCTGTCCTTCTTACCCACAAGTCCCATCTGTGCACCCGGGTCTGATGTGGAACTGGTGATGAAGGGGTGAGGGGGCCTGCAGGTGAATGTATGAAGTTCAAAGGTCAACCTGGGAAGGAATGTGAAAGTTGGTGGTTTAGTCGCTCCTGATTTTTTCGTCGGTGGAACATTTCAGTACCGATTCGGTACTTTTGGTCTCTAATAAAGCCAGATGTTTCAGTGGAGGCTCCTGTCAGCAGCAGTGCCTAACATCTGCTCTCGTAGTCTGAACTAAATGAAGAATCAGATTTTTGCAACTCAAAAATCCAGCAGGAATCAGAAAAGAAAAGCCCTTAAAAGTATTCCGGACGTGCAGTCAGGAATTCCTTTGGAATAATCGGTCACTTATAAAAAGGGATGTTGTGAAAAAGGACATCAAAGAAATCTTTGGATTATTTACAATGTAGCTGATTTAATCCCTCAAAATTAGCTGATCGAAGGATTCTTTTAAAGTATTTATGTGAAGGAAGGATTTTTTTTAAGCTTTTATTTACAAAGAAAGGTCATCCCGGTGTATTAAAGGTGCAATAGGAGGCGCCATCATTAACTCTGCTTACCAAAGGTTAATCCACACAATGTCTAAGACACGCCCACGTTTTTGTAATGAGTCATATTCTTATTTATTTATTTAGCGACCGTAAGACTGTGAACGGGCTCACGGTCCCAAACTCCCGTTTAAACTTCATCTACGGCCTGGAAACCGCGGCTTCGGCACGTCTGTTACGTTTTTACTGGATTTCATGTTTCAGAGACAATTACATGAATTAATTTAACTGGTACCACTTTACAATTAGACTAGCCTTATAGATGGTCAATAAATGGTTTGTAGATGTTTTAATAATGAGTGTTGATTTAAAAATCATTATTTGTTTGTCATGTATTGAGACGGTACCTGACAGGGTTTAGTAGAGATGGTGAGCCAAAACTGTTTTCTCTTTTTCAGCATTACTGAGGCCCTGTCCGCACGTAGCCGGGGATCTGCCAAAACGTAGATATTTTTCTACGTTTTGGCCTGTCATCCACACGAAAACGGAGTTTTTTCACATGAAAACGGATCTTTTTAAAAACTCCGGCCAAAGTGAAGATCTGCGTTTTCTCCGTTTTGGGTGTCTGCGTGTGGACGGACAAAACCGGAGTTTTAAGGTCCGCAACGTCACTTTCCGCGACAAAAAAATGCTGACATCACGTGTGCGACCTGTGTTTACACTAGCCGACAGCATGGATGCCCTCAGAGCTGCGCTCGCTTTATCAATTGTCCAAGCGCTTTTTGCTTGTTTGTTTTTGCAAGCGGAATTACTGCTCCTTGCGGAAGACCACAGACGAAGGACGAGGTTAAGAACGGGGGAAGTACTGCCGCCTACAGGTCTGGCATGTCCTTAACAACGTATTTATCCAGGTACGTGTGGACAGAGTTTTTTTTTAAACGAGGTGGTGTGGATGCAAGTTTCTGGAGGGGCGGATATTAGTTTTTTAAAAAACCCGGCTACGTGTGGACTAGGCCTGAATGTGAGATGAACACATGAGCTCATTCGCTGCCAGCCGTTTCCTGATCGGTAAAGGCCTTCGCTGCCGGCGTTTTTCAGCGTTTTTACTGTTTTTTTAAGAGTCACAGAACGTTGCGCGCTAGCATGATGTCGATGCCAAAACAACCAAAACAAAGCGGAGCCTCACCTCTTACATCAGGAAGAATCCGCGTGTTTCGAGCGTTCTTTTATAATCCGTTGTTGCATTGTGATCGGCAGAAACTTTTCCGGTTCGCGCCTCACTTTTTTTACAGCAGCGGCCCAAAACGATCTCCTAACACATGGATTTTCTGCTTCCTGATCACGTGCCGTGTGACGTACGCGGATGAAGATCGGCTTTAGAGCGGTTTGTTCTCACGGAGTGGGGGCTCGTCCGACGCCCACACAGTAAAAAAATATGTGAACGAGTGAATCATTAACACATCTATAAACTATTTTATTAGCCATTAATAGGGAGAGCCTTTTTGTAAAGTTGAATGTATTGGTTGCCATGTGTGTGAAGAGCATCTCAAACAAAAAATGCTTCATTAAAACGTCTCCTGTTGCACCTTTAATGATGTGGTTTTGCTAACGCTAACAGGGTAGGGAGAGTACAGGGTACCAGCTGAGACCAGAGTCCAATTCAAAGCCCAGATCAGAATTCATTAGCCTCAGATTAAACTTTTGTGTTTTACAGGTAGGAAAATGGGCTTTTTTCCAAAACCAGAAGCTTTAGTTTCATTTAAAGCAGCTGCTCCACGTCATCATGACAGAGACTCGGATACAGGTTTAAAAAAAATGAAAGAAGAGCGAATGAGCATCCTGTACACGCGGACCTTCGTTTGTAACGGGTTCACACAAAAACAAAAGTACTGTGAATAAGAACCGTGATTATACTGTAGTACGTGTCAAATCTGCCTTTCTATTTAATTGCACATTTATTTGCTGGACTGTTTAGTTTCGGCTCTTTTTACATAGAACCGTGTTTGTTTGTGTTTCTCTGAAACTCGTGGCCTTTCTTACTCCACACTAGCTCTAGATGACGATCGTCTCTCTTTATGAAGGAAAAGACATTTTCACATCGTTCCTTCTTTTATATATTCGCCCACCCTCCTTTTTTATGGCTTTTTTTTTTGCCTTTCCCAAAGCGTGACTGACCATAGCTCCACCCTGATGAAGGGAACCTGCCGTCTTCCTCCTAGCTTTGTCTTCTAGTGTGTACCTACCCACAATATTCTAGCGGCTGTAATGTTGGTGACTGTGGCAATTGCAAGATTTTCTTTTGGGAAAGGGATGATTCTTGGTAGCTGTGTTTATTTGTTCGTCTCCTCTCTGAACGAAAAGGTCCAAATAGCCAAAAGTGGACCTGGGGCTCTAATTCAACTGCAGCAGCTTTCTTCCTTTGCTGTTTGTTCACCCCTAAATAAAAAGTGGCACTTTTACCCCCAAAACAACAATGCATTATGCTAAAATGTAATTTTTTTTCTAATCGTGTTCAGATTTGTGCTTGCAATAATCACAAAAGCTGCAAAATCTTGGAGGAGATGCATTTAAGGAGGAATTCATACTATAATGCAAATAAATCGGCTCTTAAAACTGTGATGACTGAGTCTTGATTTTTATCAACTAAAGTAGAATATATGCTTCTATTGAGATTTTATTTGTGTTTTGTTGAGCCCAACTCTGACTGGCCATCGGAGGAAGCCTCTTCTCGCAGCGCGTCTTTGACAAGCCGTCAAAACCTGTTGCACGCTACAGCTGATACCGCAAACGGTTCCTTCAGAATAAAGCCGAACCAGCTCCGACTCCTTAAGCGTTACTCCATAGATGCAAAACAAGTCCACTTGTTGGTCGTGACCTGGAGACGACTCTGGACTGACCTGGTCGTACTTCAGTTTCTCTGCGGACTTCGGTACCGTGGGGTCCACGGACTCCCCGACATCTCGGATCTAAAAGAGAGTCTCCGATATGTAGGCTCGACGGATTGCGTCTGATGTGGTGTTATAAACCATCTACTGTCCTTGTTGAGACGTAGTCCTGGATGTTATTTTCACTTTGGAAGTGTGTGTGTGTGTAGGGGGGGGGGGGTATCTTTACAGTATGCTCTAATGGGAAACAGGCTTCGACACAAACGGTTGTTTTCTGCTTGGTCCTAGAGCTCAACCAGTGTCAATTTGATATAGCGTAATATTGTTTTCGGATGGTAAAAAGTGCAGGGGTCAAACCTTGACTCTGGGAAAAGTGTGGGTGGGTGGGTGGGGGGGCGGGGGGGGGCATGTCCCCCCGTCCCCCCCAAAATTACGGCCGTGGACGTAGTGGTAGTTTCAACAAGACCGTGAGCTAAACTCTGACTCAATGACGAAAGGTGTGTTCTTGTAGTCTCCAAATTTATTACACCTACTTGCCGTCGCTTAGAATACAGAGTAAAACTGAGCAAGAAAAGAAAAACAATGGCGTCATCTCTCTCTCTTCATCGATATCTAATTCACAGTGATTATAAATTAGAATTCAAAGCCTTTAACTGCTAAATAAAATCACCTGCGAATGAAACGGGCTGCCCACAAACGGGGATGGCATATTTTCACAGGTAACATCAAACAAATGAATAAATATTGGAATATGTTGTCTGTGACCGTACTTCGGAATTTTAAAAACATTATTCATATAGTTTAATATGTTAAAAATGGAAATTTCATCCCAAAGTTGAGAAAAAGCTTAAAAAGTGAAGAAATTATTTACAAATTAATTACAGCCTTTTTGAGTTTTACTCATTTTTACACGTTTATTAGGATTGCACCATATTACATATTCACATTAAAATAAGTTACTGCTTAAATATACAGGATGGTTGTGATTTACACTTATTTTGTTGTGCACACGTTTCTATTCTTCCTGCAGCAGAACTTTAAAGGTGAGGGCGTTCTGGTGGACAGCAGTCTCAGCCAATCAGAGCACGGCATAGCTGAAGGCCTGTCCGATTCCCGCCTCCCTCGTGTATCGCTCCAAGTTGTGCGGTTCAGGAACTCTGAGAACCGTCCTCCCATTGGCTGATTCCTCTCCGGCCCGAAGGACTCGGATCAGTTCTGCCAAGGGGGCCCGTCGCTGGGGGTTCCAGTGGCAGCTGGACCGGATGACGGCGTACCTGCAGGTCAGAGGTAAACACATTTATGATAAAGGATTTTTGTTTGAATCCAAAACCCAGTTCTACACTGAAATATTGTCAGAATCTAGAAACTTCACATCATTTTTAATTCCTCTGTTGTCCATTTTTATACCAACAGCTTCTCACGTTGAGTTTAATCAACCAAAAAACACTTCAGGAGCGTGAAAGGAAACAAATCTGCGCCAAAACGTTTAAATGAAATTCTCTCGTGTTCGTCAGCATCCTCCCGGAACGTGTGCACCATGAAGATGGACGCTCGTTGCTCTTACAGCGAGGTGGAGCATGTCGGCGGCCGTTTGAGGGTGTTTCCTCTTTGGAGGTACTGCACGAGGTCAGTCGCCATGATGTCAGCAAAAGGTGGGTCACCTGAAACAGCAGATAGTACTGCATCATTATTCTTTAGGCTCTGAAAGGTGAAAACCAGTGGCGTGTCCAGATCTTTTAAAATGGGGTGGCCCAGGTGAGGCACAGCTTTGTGCATGGGTGGCACCAGTGTTTATGCTCTTTTTGTTTTACCCCCAAGCCTTTTGTGGACAATGAAAAGCCTATTTAAAGGTAAATTAGTGTGGTGGCCCCTGGGGTGGCCAATCAGATTTCAAGGGTGGCATGTGCTACCCCAGGCCACTCCCTGGACACGCCCCTGGTGAAAACAATTCATGTTCCTCAGAAATGCCTGACCCCCCCCCCCCCCCCGATAATCAAATGGAGCCACGTCTTGTGATTCATAATAACTTTTTCTAATAAATTGGTCCCTTCCTTAGAGTTTTGAGCCGTTATCTAAAACAAATGCAACGTTTCCTTTAAATGTGTAAAACTATTGAAAAACCGACATCGACAGGAAATCTGAGACTTTGTCTTCGCTGCCTTCTGTTTTTTTAGTTTCCTCTCAAATGAAGGAAAAGGTCATTTTCTTATTTGGATTATTTTCATTCTACACAAATAGTTTTCAATCGGACGTTTCTTCAATCTTGTACAATGACAGATGTGACAAATTTTTACAGATCCCCCAAAACACAAACCATAATAACACTTCCACCGTGTTTTACTGTCTGTGGAGTCGCTGCCATAACTCGTCTTTGACTTTCTCTCACATATGTTGATCATTTTTAAAATATATTGTTTATGTTTTCACTTATTTGTAGTATTTTTGTTGTTTTTCTAAAAAGCGGTTTTCAATAAAACAAAATTCAAATTGTAATTCTTTTTCTTTATAATTTTTCAGTAGATTTAAATTTTTTAAAAATGTTAAATGTAGCTTTTAATTTTTACAGTTTCTTTTAAGATTTATATTAATTAATTTATTAATTGTTTAAATAATTTGTTGTTAATTTATTGAAAGTTTTACTTATTTTTTACTTATTTTATTTTAAAATGTTTTACAACATTTTTTTAATTAAGAAAATTTACATAAAAAAGCCATTTTTAACGATGATATGAAGATCGTTGTTGGAAATTAGAAGAAAACTCACCCAGAGTCACCATTTCATAGAGCAGAATACCAAAGGACCATCTGTCAGACAGAAGAAGGAGTGAGTGTGAAGTTTAATATTAAAAAATTAAGACTTTTGATATAGAATTCATCCAATTTGTGTCTGATTGCAAATTCTTAAATTTAAGTTATTTGATGCAAACGTTTCTTCAAAATAAAAGATCATCATAAGCTCACGTTGGAGTATCCATATCGCTTGCTTGTTTGATCATAATTCTTTTTCCTTGACTTACACGTCGCTGCTCGGACTGACGGGCCTCCCGACCAGAACCTCGGGCGCCTGCCACTTCCTGAGCTCCATATCCTCCACCGCCCCCCCTGAACTGGACCTGGCTCTGCGGAAAGCTGAGCCTAAGCCCCACAGTTTGGCTGTCAGGTCGCTTCCAACCAGGATGCTGCGAGCCGCCACCTTACCGTGGACGTAGCCCTTACTGTGCAGGTACTCCTATAGAATGAGGAAGATGTAGTCAGTGTCTTTGGATTAATAGAAACAAACCAGCAACATAAAAATACAAGAGATGTTATAACAAACTCTTATTCTGAAACACCTTTTCCTGGCCCAGAAAACAGATTGAACTTTTCTTAAAACAAACAATGAAACTGGAAGATTAAAGGTAAAGCAGACAGTAACTAACCAGAGCGGTGGCCACCTGTCCGGCCATGATGAAAATCCTCTTCTCCGTCATGTCATGAACGGAGTTCTCCTTCGGTGAAGGAAAAGAAAACACCTCCAGTGTTCTTGGCTACAACCAGGTTGGTGAATCCATCAGATAGGCCATGAATTACCTGTCTGCACCGCCACAGGAAGCCCAGCAGGTCTCTGTTCTTCAGCTCCTCCACCACCAGCGTCAGAGGCCGCTGCACCGAAACCACACCCAGCACGGCAGGAATGAAGGGGTGAGGCCCGAGGGCACTCAGGAAGGAGGCAAAGTCCAAGAAGTTCTGTGTCTCTCTGCTGTCGGCTGTTTCTGAGGGATGGAGGAGAACAAAAGATCTTCATCTGTTTATTTATTTAACGCGTTTGGATGCTATTCAACACGGTCCAATGGGTCTCAGGTTGCCGCCCTCTTTTTTTAAAAATATGTTTTGAATTGGTTCCAAGCGAACTGAGCCGGGCGCTGGTTGGCTACAGGGTGGAGTCACTGGCTGCTCCGGAATGTTCCGCCTCGCCGCCTGCAGAACTTGTCTTAACTATTCAGAGGTTGAATGTTCAACATAACCACCATGTCAGCCATTGTTGTGTAGAGTCAGGGTGTCGCTCCTTGGCAACAGACGAGAAAACACTTGGAGGATGGCCTGGTGCCAAGAAGGGCACCAAAGAAGCCACTTCTCTCTTTGTGGAGAACTCTTGGAAAGTCCTTTTCACAAATGAGTCCAACTGTTTCAGGGATCCAGGAAGAAGGATTGTTCAGAGAATCAAGGAGGAGCACTACGTGGGTCCTGTCAGCTGATAATCGTGCCAAATTTTTACCAACCCTGCCCCTTCCGAGAATCCCAATGCTGTGCACGATTAGAATAGTGCTTCTAAAGATGATCTTATCAGATAATCCTATCTTGTGTGGTGTGGTACAAGCACTCTGGTCCTCTTGGAAGGATGTTGGGACCGCTCCAATCATAAAATTCCGGGTTTGAAACATGTTGGATCATCTTGCTCTGATATTCGGTGACAAACGAATGTGCTTCCTGTTGAATGCGACGTGTCGCCATTCAGAAAGCAAAGTGATGGGGCGGGGGCATGTTGCACACTCCTGTGCCGCGTTTGTTTACTTTCAAGTCATTTTCTATCTTGCAAGATTTCCCATCTGAGCAGGAAATGTCTATGAAAGTGGTTCCTGTGTAGTGTTTAGTATTTACCAAGCACACCACACATTGTAGGACCAAAACTAGTGCATCCATGATTTTTAGCTTACTTGCGTGTTGTCTCTCATGCTTTGAAAATTGACTGACTATTTAAAAATCCTGCTGTGTGAACCGGGCTTAAGGGAGTGGACAGTTTAGCCTTAGAACACAGCTATGAAAAAAGAAGTGTACCGAAACCTCCTCCCAGAGGAACTCCTCTAGCTATTTCAGGGCAGTTTGGTGAAGAGCCGTGCCTTCTCAGCATGGAGCATTGTGTCATGTGGCTAATGCTGGAACTAATAGCTCAGAAAACGTAAACGTCAAAAATCCTGAAACATCAAACTTGGTGACGGCCAGCACGTGTTTGTCCGCTGCTGTAAACAAAACAACTCTGATAGAGCTTTCACCTTTCAGCATCCTCAAGACGACGTCTCTGCTGTCCATGCGGCCTCTGTAAAGGCTCGCTGTGTCGTTGGGTTTCATGGAGAACGATGCGGGCAGTGCAGTGACCTGGCCGAAGCCTCCAGGAGGCCTCTCTGTGGACGTCAGCGGCACTGCCGCCTGAGTTGGTCTCCTGTTTTGAACAGTCATCGGCACTTCTTCGTGTTCCAGTGGGTTTATTCCCGGTGGTGCTTTTATCAGGAAGGAAAAGGAAGCAGTCAGAGAGAACGGGAGTTAGGAAAACATTAAATATTAAAACACTCACCGTCTATTCCATGCAAGTGGTGTTTGTTGTTGTGTGTCCTTGTGCGAGGTTGTGGTCGAGTGTTGCGGTGGTGTGTGTGGTGGTGTGTCTTCGGCTGGTGGAGGGGGTGTGTGTTGTGGTGTGTGTTGTGGTGAGCCTGTGTGTGGCGTTGTGTGTGTGTTTGTCTGTGTTTGGAGCTGTGGTGGCGGTGTCTTGCTCGTGAGCGTTCTTGGTTACGGCAGCACATACACAAACAGATGACCAGCAGGGTGAGGACCGTGGTTGAGATGAGCAGCGCCGGGACCACGATCACTTCCAGCTGGTACTCCCGAATAACTGGGAAGAAATAACAAAGCAAAACATTATTTGCATTAATAGCAAATTCAGGAGGAGGTAGAACATTTCTCTGCATTCTCTCTTGAATTTACAGTTTCTGTTTTTTTTTGTCTGACATTGGAGCTAACATGGTTTCAGTGCTTTTTAGCTTTACCCTCACCAAGTTTTAGACCACGACTAAAACAATGAAATCCTGGAAACAAGCAGCTGAACATCATTTGTGGAGTTCTCGGATCTCCTGACCTGCTGCGCTTCAACCCCAGAGGAGCTCACAGTCAAGCCGCCGCTCCTTCTTATCAAAAAGGAGTCAGCTGGCATCGCATCAGGATACAGCATCGACATATATTCTGGACAATTTGTGTCTATAGGCTCCAATTATAAGTTTTTAGGCCAAAATGGGAGGTGGCCACCACCGCCATTTTGACCGTGTCACAGGTTCGGTCAAGCCCAGACAATTCCTTAAAAGGGAAAGAGGAGGTCTGGGATCAAATGACGACACCCGTCGAACTGAAGCGATGTAGCTCCAAGCTAACCCAAAGCTAACGCGGAGGTGGGAGCTAAGCTAACGGAGGTAGCTACCTAGCTACAACCGGAGTTAACTGCACAACACCAGAGCTTCTGAGTCAGAGATGCGCCGGGCTGATCGCTGAGGAGAACCGGGTGGAGCACAGAGGTCTCCCGAGAGCTCCACAAGCCGGCAGCCACACAGCAGACAAGCGCCGCTGCGATCAGAGATGTGCCGAGCTGCTGCTGAGGGGAGGGGACGATACCGATAGTCAGAACCCAGCTCCACCAACATTTCATATTTCAACCCATTTTCTAAAGTGCAGCATTATGTTAAATGCACTGGGTTTTACCCTATTACATTTAAATTTCATGGTTAAACAGTACATGTTAAAATCTAAGCGCAGCTCAGTGACCTAAAATACATAAATGAGACTCCTTGGACGCTCTATTAGTGCAATTAATGCCACAGCAAGTCATTTTGTCCAACAGTTGCACAAATAATATCCAAACAAGAATACACACACACAGAGACTCAAAATCCCGGAATAGTTTCCAAGCCAGACCAAGGCTCTACTGAGGCCTTTCCACGGAGCTAGCTCTGTGGTCACGTGGGTCTGATGCTCATTAATTATACAGAATTTAAGGCTTTTAATACACTTAAACAGAAGAGTGAGAAAAAAATTCACCCCCCTCAGAGTTGTCATGAGTGTAAACTAGATCATTTACACCAAAAACATGTTTTGGTACCAGGCTGTAAACATGTTTATTTCTGCTGTGAAATTGGTATTTTTAACATGGGAGTCAATGAGGATTTGCTCGCTTCTGACACCAGCCCCTAGTGGATGAGGGTGGAACTGCAAATTATTTCACTTCCGTGCTGGCTTCATCTCCAGACCTGAATTATGGGGGCTTGGGGTACCGCTGTAGGCACATCCCACTGGGGGGAGACCCAGAACTCTACTAGAGGGATTATACATCCTTCCTGGCCTGGGATCAGCTTAAATCAATCAGGAAAAAGATTATTCTATTGGCCATCATTTGCTAAGATCTTACTCGAACACATTGCCAGCAATGATCTGGGTATGAAAATACACACTGTCACTTTATGAGTGTTAATGTGTTAAAGGGATATTCCACCCCTTTAAATAACTCTGTCCACATTTTGCTTTCATGTATAAAGAGGTTTGTTGACAGGTGGGTGGGCTTTAATGGAGCAGCTGATTATTCAGGTTTATGGTGAGGTAAATTCATCTAAGTGATGAGAACAATAAGAGCAGGAAGAGACTTTTACCTCATTGAGACATCATGAGGCAGAAGGTAAACGGTGAACCTGGTTTCAAAGAAACCAGAGTGAGTCAGGCGTTGTCGTTCCGACCACATTATTTCTTTGTTCTCATGCATTTAGATATTAGCGTTAGCATGTTAGCGTCTATCTGTCTGTGTCGTCTGGATTTTCCTGCTGACTGCATCCATCATCACGACTTTGCAAAAACCAGAGAAGTTTAAGGCACTGGTCTCTTTTTCTGATGTTTGAGATCCACTATCCAGCATGTTTTAGCTGTTTCCCTGCTCCAACACACCTGATTCAATGACCTGTTTATCAAGCTCTACTGAAGCCTGAAGTACATACACGAAACAGGTCAACTGTGCCTGGATGTCCCAGTAGGTCGAGGCTGGGTGACTGCTCTTTTGCTGTGGCAGCCTCGGAGTCGTGGGACAAACTTCCCCCTGACCTACGTACCGCTACAGACCTGTCGCTCTTTAAATGTAGATGTTAACGCTACCAGTCTGGCCAGTGAGATCCAGGAGCCAGGATCACCCAGCCCCGGTGATCAGCCTGACGCCTCCCCTCCTCCTCCTCTCCTCCAGGCCGCTGGATAAAACGGCTGTGCCTTCAGCAGTCTAGAAGGCAGCAGTGCAGGGGTTCTGCTGTCCTCCTGGTCTCGGTTTGGTTTAACCCCTTCGTTTCGATGAGTTTTAGCTTTACAGTTATAACTCTTAGTGATGAGCTTTTGGATGATCCGGTGGGATCTTGTGACGTTTGTGTTAAAGGTTAACTTTGTTTGTTGCAATTTTATTGACTCTGGTTTTTAAACACCTTCGTTTCGGTAAAACTTTTACAATAAGTTTTAACCAGGTGCTTTTATAGTTGATAATTCGTCTTGTAATGTTAACCTTTTTGAGAGTTTTGTTTGTTTTGGCATTATCTTTATAACGCGCGCCATCTGTTTGCTCATTTTTAGAACCTTTTATTACAAATAAAACCATTTTAAATTCCACTGTCACATTTCTTATGTTACCCCCTCCTTCGCATCTTAGCAACACATGTCGGAGACGTAACAGTAGACCTAAAACACACCTTTAACGTCAGGCTCTAAACCCCTGGGCTGACCACACTTAATGCTTTCTGTTGCATTTGCATTTTAATCTGTTTTATTGGGCTTAATCCCGTTCTGTTGGTGTTTTGGTAACTAGAGTGTACAGCGTTACTGTGGAGGACTCTGGATACCTTTACGCTGTGGAAAGCGCTTTATGAAAACCGTTAAGTGATTGATGTTGGTAAACATATGAACACAAAAATGTTTAAAGACACAATGCGTAGTTTTTACCTTTAATCTCTGGAAATATTTATCAAAATGTTGTTGAAAATTATAATAAAAAAACGGGACTAAAATAAATTGTCTGAGTCTCTGGGCGACGCCATGTTTCCTTCTACAGGAGCCCGTGAGGACAAAATGCATTTACTGATTTGTAACAAGCGGTTACAAAACTTTTGCCATTCATAAATGTTGTTTTACAAGTTTACCTCCACTTGTTTCCACAAAGGGAGTCTGATGTGTGTCCTTTTGCTGGCGGTTGCACTTCCAGGGGTTTTTGACCCTAATGGCCATCCGTTGGTAAGGTCTTACTCTAACACAAAAACACAGCTTGCTTACAGTGATTTAGGTATGTACTGCCTCCATCTTTATACACATTGTCTCTTTAATGGCCTGCTGGAGAGAGAACATACGACCATTTCAGGAATGTTAATCCATCTGAGGGCCACAAATGGCCCCGAGGCCAAACTGGACATGCCTGCTCTAAAGCAAGCTGGGTAGAAGTCTTCGAGCACCATGGTTGGACGCCACTGGTTTAAACATTTTCACCAGTCAGCTTTCTGGATTTAAACTTTGAATTGATCTTCTACCTATTTTTGTATCACATGCGCTAATCCCACGCGCTGACCTCTGACCTTCTTCAGCACCTGTAGATTTTATGTCACTACAAGGTTGACTCCAGCATTGTGTGTTTAATCCATCCTTCCATCACGCCCAGTTGGCAAGAGAATTGTGAAGATTCTGGTTCTGGTACATTTTAAGGAGCGGAGTGGAGGAATGAAGACTTTCTTGATTATTACGGGTTTAAGTTCAACTTTAAACACGAGACATTTCTTTTAATCTGTTTAATTTACAGTGTCCAAGAGTTGATTTGATGTTTGAGACTAAAGGTTGGTGAAAAAGTGGTTCAGTGTTGATGAATTTGTGAACTTTTCATACAAAATCCAAAAGCCTGTAAGGTAAAAGTTATTAAGCATCGTTACAACAAAGGAAATTAAAGGGAAAATAATCCAAATTTAATATTTTGACCAAAAATTGGACATTCAAATTTGTTAGAAGCTGTTTAAAAAACAGTAATTGTATTTAAAAGTTAGGTTTTGTTTTCTTTAGTCTACTGTTACAGAAATGATCAGCTTTTGAGTTGTATAAAACCTAAGGGTGGGACTCGATTAAAAATTAATCTAATTAATTGAAGGCTTTGTAATTAATTAATCTTGATTAATGCAGTAAATTCCCACCCTTAATGAAATAATTTCACAAACAAGCAGGTGATCAAAACTCAACATTTAAATGATTTTTATTTTCCTTTATGATGCAGTCAGGAAGCTAGAATGATAAAATGTATTTAAGTGTTATGAGAAATTATTTAGTCAGAAATCTTCCAAATGACTGAAGCGTAACAGTGAGTTAAATAAAACGCTGATCTGGACACCGGCAGTTTCCAGACCTGTATTCCTTTGGTCACACATGAGGGTAGCACAAGTTTCACCAGCAGCTGAAAGTTGTTGACTTATCACTTTACTTTTTTATTAATCAACAAGGGTTGTTATGATATAAGTCAAGTTAATAATACTTTTATTATTCAGGTAATGATAATTTAAGGTAATAATGTTTAATGATTTATTCAAAGGTGTGCTCTTGTTTAATCAAAACATCTGCAGTGGTCTCTAGTAGTAACTAAAGCCTTGTAAGTCATACTCTGGGGGAAAAAAGTCCTGGTTCACCATTTTCAGGAACTAGGAGTGAGCCAGATCAGAGTTGGGCTTCAGACGACTGGATCTGGAGTCGTATTTCCTGGTATTTGGACATCTGGCCTCAGATTGGCTAACAGCAATGCGACTTTACCACTGACTCCGACGTTGATGTTTTATCCCCACAGATAAAACAAGCCTGGAGGAGTTCTGCTGTGTGGTGGAGTTGATAATGCTAACTGTTAGCTTCTACTAGCTGAGACGTTCTCTGCTGTTTCCTGGATGCTAAACCATCAACAGCCTTCCCCGTTGTGGGTCAAGATGGGTGAGTCCACGAATGTTAAGTGACAGTGTGTAGTTTCCCTGGCGATAGGGGGCAGCAGATACCTAAATCACTGCAAGCAAGCATTACTTTTGTGTTCAAGTAAGACCTCACCAACGGATGGCCATTAGGGTCAAAAATCCCTGGGAGACAACCTCCAGCAAAAAAACAAGACGATCAGATTCCCTTTCATCACTGGCAACGAGCGAGGAGGTAAATGGGTAAACAACAACATTTATTAATGGTGAAAGTTTTGTAACCATCAGTAAATGCATTTTGTTCTCACAGCCTTCCGTAGAAGGAAATATGGCGTCGCCCAGAGACTTAGACCCGCTTCCATACATTTTAGACCAGATTTTATGGTTATATGTTATTAAACTGCCAATATTTTTCAACAACTGGGCATCTTTTAATTCATTTACAACAACATTTTGATGGATATTTCCAGAGATTCATGGTAAAAACAACACGTTGTCTCTTTACGTGACCGTGTAACGTAAATCTGTCAGGATTTTCTCATCCTAGAGTTTCACCGCCTGTTTTCCACCAGAAGCTAAAGCAGGAGATAGGTGTAGGAGACTATTTTCATGCTCAGCCTGCATGAAGCACTCAGAATGACCCGTTAGAAGTTAAAATAAGATTTAGAAAATGTTTTTTCATTGTTGCACACCTTTAAACATTCTTTAAAATTCTCTAATTTCCCTCTGGGATTAATAAAGTATTATTGAATTGAATTGAAAAGTATATTTTGGTAAGTTTAGTGCTTGTGTCAATAAGAAATACGGATTCAGATGAGCTCTGTCTGCTGGCCACATTACTTTCATACAGCGAGTGAGGATTTTTAAAAATCTACAGCCTAAAACCTTTGGAAACTTCGAGTAAATAACAAAATGCGGGAAAACATGAAAAACGACTAAAAGTTGAAAAAGTACAAAAATATTGAAAATAGTCAAATGGAAATATCTTTGAATAACTCTCAATGACATTCAGTGGCGGCGCTAGGGGGTGCTATAGCTACCCCTGGATTAGTCATTGCACTCCCAAGTAAATGTTAGATTATTTTTTACAATTTAATTTTAATTTAACGTGTGGATGTGATAATATTTAACATACAAATAAAAAATAACCAGTAAATTATCATACAGATAGTAAAAACTTAAACCAAAACAGGAAATTGATGTTAACATTTGACCTCATTTTCCACCTGTGACGAGTGAAAGGTAGAGCTAGCGGTAAAATGGATCGGTGTTTGTTGCCCACATTTCCACGGGTTCAGTCAGAAAGGAATGAATGTTTGGAAGTGATCTCAGACCCACAAAAACCTACGGATCTGGATGAAGAGAGTCAACCCTCAACCGCCGCAGCAGTCCAGGGTTTTGCCGCTGGAAATGCTAACGCTAACGTTAGCTAACCTTGCAACACTATAGATGGTTTTCTGTGTGGTTGTATGCGTTTATGATTTCACAGAAAAGTCAGCGATTGTTCATATGTTTATGATGTATATTAATGATTGTTTCAGGTGTTGTTCAGGTGTTGTGCACGCATGTGTATCTGCTAGTGTTGAAGGTGTTTTAGAGAACAATAGGTACGCATGACCACTTCCTTCATAGCACCCTCAATAAAAGACTAGCTCCTTCATAGCACCTGCAGAAAAACATTTCTGGAGCCGCCACTGATGACATTTATTTGTTCGAGCTTCGCTTTGGGGGTTTTCTGCGCTGATGATTACTGACTGGCTGCCGTGGTGTTGTGCAACATTTACTCTTGTCCTACAAAACAAAAATTCAGCTACTGGAAAGAAAAGTAAAAAAGGTGAAGTTTTGCATGTGGATCTGTAGAAATGCGCAGGTTTTTGCAGCGCTTAAAATACTTCTACCTTTCCTGTAATGTAGTGGAACATGTGCATAGTGATCTACTTATGCATAAATCCACAGGATGTTGAGGATTTTAATCGTCAAAAACAAGTTTCGTGTTCAGAGAAACAAAAAGTGGGGAAAACGGTTTCAGGACCCGAGGAGGAGAAAAGCCCAGAAAAGTGGACGATGAAGCTGAACGTCAGCGTTCTTACAGCAGATGGTGTCGCTCTGTTGGCACACGGTGTTGTTGGAAGCGGTGGACGCCATGCTGGACAAAAAAATAGAAACACATCAGTGGAGTTATCAGCTGCTGTAAACTTTTGTAAAGTTTGTGTTTATTTGGGTGTAAAAAAAAAAGCTACAAATCTGGAGTTTTGGAAATCTTCTGTGTTCCCTGTTTGGCAACAATAGCAAATCTGAAAATCAAGCTAGCTTAAAACATTTCTCATGCTTCAGATCTGAAATATTTTTGAGGAGATTTAAATTAATAAAACGGTTCTGTCGTATTTGTCTAAAACCTCCACCAATGACGACTCGACCATCCGGTTGGCCCTTCTCATCGAATCGCCGCACTTCCTTGGGTCCTCCACTCATCACACACCCACCTAACGCCACTGGTGTGAGAGGTTCTCCGCTCAATAACGCCAGAGAAGGAGAAACAGCCGGCTACCTCTTCAGCTTAAGGACAAACTACCAGAGTCCCAAAAAGAAAAACATCTGAAGTCACGGACAACAAAAGACTTTTGGACCTGGAAAACGGCGACTGGTGTTTAGCGCTATCTTGTACCCTCCAGCTTGGCGGGTTTCCGGTTCTGGCAGAAGCGTCTCAGCGAAGATACCTGTGGGGAAGGGTGAATGTTCTGTTTCTGTTTTAAGCTAGCTCGTTCTACAGATTTGCTATAACAGCTTTAAAACTAACGATTAGGACAATTTTAAAGGGACCATATGGAAAATCCACTTTTGGAGCTTTTTACTATGTTATATTGTTATTTTCTCATGGAAAAACACCCCCAAACCAGTTTATGGCTGAATTCATGCATTTTCCTGACTCGGCTGCAACTTTTCTGATTATTTGGAAGCATCTGCAAAAGCCTCGATGGCAGCCTTTCTCCTCCCCATCAAGCTAGTCTCGGATCTGAAACTGCCTCCCCTGGAAGTAGGTCACTAACTTTCTCCGAGCTGCGAGTGTAGAGCTGCTGACTTCATGTTTCAGTGTGACCGGCATGTCGCGGAGAATAATATCTAGATGGAAATCCAGCGGTGGGAATACTGCTGCATCTGGGGGCAGCAGTAGCTCAATGGGTTGAGCTGGTTGTCCAGTAATCGGAAGGTTGCAGGTTCGATCCCGGCTCCGGACAGAGAATTCTGCTGATGTGTCCTTGGGCAAGACACTTAACCCACCTTACCTGCTGGTTGGTGGTGGTCTGAGGGACCGGCGGCGCCTGTGCTCGGCAGCCTCGCCTCTTTCAGTGCGCCCCAGGGCAGCTGTGGCTACATCATAGCTCATCACCATCAGTGTGTGAATGGATGAATGATGCACTGTAGTGTAAAGCGCTTTGGAGTCCTTACTCTGAGTGGCGCTATACAAGTGCGGGTCATTTATCATTTATCCTCCTCATCCATCATATATGTAAACTGGCTCTCCCAGATCTTTACACACACACACACACACACACACACACACACACACACACACACACACACACACACACACACACACACACACGTATGGGAATAAAACATTTCTGAAGAGACAGACTGAAGCTGCTGTTTAGGTTGGTTGCATGTAGCTGAACCAGTTTAACAGCATTGTTACTCAGATACACACACACACACACACACACACACACACACACACACACACACACACACACACACACACACACACACACACACACACACACACACACACACACACGTATGGGAATAAAACATTTCTGAAGAGACAGACTGAAGCTGCTGTTTAGGTTGGTTGCATGTAGCTGAACCAGTTTAACAGCATTGTTACTCAGATACACACACACACACACACACACACACACACACACACACACACACACACACACACACACACACACACACCCTGAGAAATGTCTGTAAATTGTGCTAAAATAAAGAACAACCTGCTGAAAGACAACAAATCTGCTCTCGGCTGCAAAACTCTTCAGGACCCAGACTTCATGATGTGCTGAATTTAAATGTAAACATTTTAAAAGGTGAACTCTTCTCAGATTATCCTCAGAAGGAGCTGTTCAGTCTCAGCTACTGTGTGTGCCTCCTACCTGGCCAGCTTGGTGTAAGCTCTCAGGTGTCAGACTCAGCGTGACGTAAAACTTTAAAGTTCCGAGATAAAATCCCGCCTCCTTTCCTGGTTTTCATTGTTCCGGTCCAAATCCACAGGGAGACACATTTCCTTTGGTTCTGCTCTGAAAGTGGAGTTTCTGTTTGCCTGTCACTCTCTCACTCGTCCTTCCTCTTGTCTCTCTCTCTCTCCCAGGTGAGCCACGCCCACCACCCTCCCCTCATCACCTGCATGGCGTGTCGTCCGTCAGTATCGTGTGAGTTTTTGTGTTTCTGGGAGCTTCGCACAGACGGCTGCTCCTAGAACACGTGATGTAATAATGAGATTAAACAGATTTTTACTACATTTGAGCAAATTACGGATCTAAAAGCATCTTTAAAGTCCTCCGTCCTCACCCAACAAGTGGGTTTTGCTTCTATATTATTGTTGTTAGTTGTATTCATTATTTTATCTGCCTAGAAACAAACGCAAACTCATATTTTCTGAATAGTTTTGCCAATTTAACTTTTTCAGTTCTGATGTCTTTAGATGATTCGTTTGGGATTACAGGATCTAATTTTGACCAGTTCACTTGCTTATTTAAACATCTTTCAGGTATTTTTATGCTGTTTGTGATTTTTATCAGTGAAAAATGCCGTATTATAAACTGTCCAGTTTTATTGATTCTTAGAGTTTATGGGATTATACATTTTCCACCTTTTAGCTCAGAGGTTTTATTTTTTGATGAGAAATATTTAGAAACATCTCCACATTTCTGTGGAAGCAGCCTGGAGCTCTGCTTTAAACCCGAGGAACCAGTGAACGTTTGGGAGAACCAGAAGAGGAATTTCCTTTGAACTCATTTCTATTAAACCGTGGCTTCTGAGAAAGCTGTTGCTAGAGCGTGTTTTAGACCTCGGGGCTGATTGAAACATGAATTAAACTAAAATTGACCAAAAGAAATCAACAAAAAATTGTTTTCTTAATGTGGGGATGTTGGATCTAAAAGCTAAATATTGCTTTACTTCAATAGAATAAGCTTAAAATTAATTATGTATTTTTTTACTTACAATTACACAACGTTAAAATGTAACCCTTAATGCCAAAAATGAAAATAAAATGCAGAAAAAGAATAAACAAAGTATTTCTGTTTTTCTTGGTATTAAAGTTACC